GTCTTGATGAATGAGAATGCGGCCTTGAAGGGAAATAAGGATGAACAGATCAAGTTAGTGGAGAAAGGGATATTGAGAGATAATACAGAGAGAAGGCCAAGAATTCTGATGTGCTGTATGGCATCCTCAAGGTATTATTAGTAGAATCAGCCTGTAGAAAGGCAAGTCAGACAGCAGCATTGGGTTTGGGATGGTCAGATACATTAGCGTCATCCACCTCCAACATTTAATCCCTCTCCAGCTCCTATTTTACCTCCTAATTATCTTTCAGATCAGAGCATTATTTTCAACATCCAGCATCATCACTGAAGTCCAAAACTGCCATTACTTTTCCCCTTGCTTCCACACCTCTCCTCATCTACCTTTATCTCTCTCTGTCAGTCTCACCCCAAACTGCATTGAATAGTTTTTTCACACTGAACATAAGGTCTCATCTCTTCCTTGCTTGAAAGCCTCTGGTATTTTTCCACTAGGAAAATAATGAAAATCCCAAGCACACCAAGGCCGTGCTCCAGGGTATGACCCAAACCCACTCTCCTGCTTCCATTTGGAAACTTCATGTTCTGAGCAACTCAGCTACACTAGCCTCTTGTCAGTTTCAGGACCTGCTCTGTTGCCTTCCACGCCTGGGCTTTTGCACAGGCTTCTGTAGCTGCTGGTTTGCTCTGTCTCCTTGCGCAGTTCATTGTGCTCAGTCCTTCAGGGTAAAGTTAGACACTGTAGTTCTTGGAGGACATCCTCTGAGTCAGTCTGAACACCTCACTCCATCTGTAGTTACACCTTCACTCACATGAAAATAGCTATGAGCCAGTCAGACCCAGGATAGCAGAGGGCACTCCATTTGTGTTATGCTATCAGTATGGACGAGATGCTTGGTAAATATTTGCCTAATGAATGGTTGGAGGGACCAGAATTACCTCCTGAAAAATTTAAAAATTAGTGGAATTTTTGTTTTGTTTTGTCCTTAAAGAAAATAAAATACTAAGAGAAATATAAACATACTCTCAGATTATTTGATTATACAGTAAAATAAAGGTCTTTCTTACTGGAATGAGGCCAGATTAAAGAGAGGACAAACAACTTTGGCTTCACTCTGTGCAGTTCAAGTTGGGGCTAAGAGGTAGAATTTCAGGTTAGGAGGAATAAGTAGAGAAGTGCCTTATAGTTTGGCAGTCAAGACTTGCTGCTTTCTCTGGTAAATTGAGTTTCTATGGCCTGGGAAAGGCAAGACCCAAGACTAAGGAGGGTCTCATATCCACAGTCACTTTGTAGACTTTGGGGAATAAACGGAGAAAGGTGGGGTAAAAGAAATGAAGAAATAAACAAAGGATACATTTATTTTAGTGAAAAACTTTTAAAAAGCTTTGAAAACCACAGGAGCTCCTCAAGATGTTTATGTAATTGAATATAATTTATCTGGCATTGAGAAGAAAAATAATCAAAACATTTTTCACTTCAGTGCATCTGGAGGCATATGAAATTAAACTCTTGATGGTGGCCTATGCTTGGTAGTACCCTGAGTGTTTTATTCTCAGGCTGCAGGCTGGAAAAAATGTGTTTTATAGAGCAGACGTGGAGCACAAAATATTAAATGAATTTTACTGTATTCAGAATGCCCAACTGTGTAACATCCTCCTTGTTTGGCAGGGAAAGAGCTCAGCATTTGGGAACTCAGCAGTGCATTAAATATTTTAATAATCATTGTTGACACACAAAGCATATGGCCTTGCAGAGCTCACTGGGTCAACTGCTGAAGTCGTCTTCTAGCTTTCTAAAATTACCTTTCAAATTTCTCGCAAAATTTAGGGCACATTTCAAACTATAGTAATTCATGAGTTTTGTATTATGAGCAAGTGTTTTTCCTAAGATAGAAGATTATCTGTGAGTAGCTGAGCACTATATGTGAAGGAAAAAATGAAATTCATATCCCTGAAAAAAAATGAATTTGCAATTCTAGAAAGTCTCAAACCTCTGTGTAAGTAACCCTGTCTTATAGTAGATTTATATTTGCTTTGTACCTCCTAGTCATGCTTTAAGACCCACCTCAAATATCCTCTGATCTCAGAAGACTTCACTATTTCCTTATTGTTTATGTCATTTACCTATGGCCACATATAAGTAACCTTAACATACAATGGTTTAGAACAACAAGGATCTTTTTTGCTCACAAAGATCTTCTTTGCTGGTCTCTTGGATGGTCAGCTATGGGGCAGTCTCTGTTCTTAGTGGCTGGTGGCTGAGCTCCTCCCTTCCCTGTGCCTCTCAGTGCATGTATCTCTCATACCTCCCCAGCTAGCCAGCTTGAGCTTATCCTCAGTGTCATTTCAGAGAACCAAAACAAAAAGTATACTCATTGTAGCATTTTTTTCCCAAGCTTCAGTTTCATTACATTTATTAGCCTCCTGTTGGCCAAAGGAAGCCATGTGGCCAAGCTCAGAGTCAGAGTAGGAGGAAACTATGAAGTTACAGGGCAAAGCAGAGAGAAACAGGAAAGTTACTATCATTAGTTAGATGCCCTCATCCTACAACGGCCCCTACCATCAGCAACAATAATCATTCCCTTGTTTGTGCCACCTCTGTTCCTTGCTCTTAACTGTATTATTATACCTTGCCCATTGTCTTACCATTGCTAAATGTCTGTCTTCCTTAAATGATTATGGAGTCTTTATGACAATGAGCTCTCATTCATAAATATTTACTATTTGTTTTGTGTCTTATTCCTTCACAGTGCCTAGCACTGGTCTGCACACAATAGGCACTCAGTAAACATGTGTTGAATGAATGCACATGTGACACTTGCTCCCCACGTGCATTTCCTCCCCTTGCAGAGGAAAAGAATGAGGACAGAGGCTTTTCAGGATCCCAGCTGAGGAGGTCTTCCTGGTCCCAGCAAGTTAACTAGTGGCCAATGGGTATTTGCAGTGGTGATGCCAACTGCTGAACACTTTCTCCTCTAGACTTCCAGTTCTCCCCTCTGGAACTCAGGTTTTCTCTCTTCTGTCTCCCTACTCCTCTTTAAATAAGGTAGAAAATCCCTGATACCTAACTCATTTCAAACTCCTTCTGCAGCCACAGCTCCCAAGTAGCTTAAACTATAGCCCTCTAATCTCCTCAGTGAGAAATGATTGAACTCCAGGATTATGCTCATGGTGTGGTCAGTTTGAGAAGCATTTGTAACTACTATTCTCTAATCTTCCCAGATCTATAGACATAAATAGGAGTTCCTAGGAAAAATTTTATCTAGCACTGCATTCTATTCTTACAGCTCCGGTGATAGAGTATGAGTTCTACCAATGTGGTGTTGGATGTATGGGATCATTATTTTCATTTTTTTTTTTTTTTTTGGTACTGGAGATCAAACTCGGGTCCTTGTGCTTTCAAGGCAGGTGGTGGAACCACTGAGCTAAATCCCTAGCCCCTGGCATCATTATTTTCTAGTTCCATAGACCCCTACAGGGAAAACTTGTGTTTCTGGATAGAGTCATAATTTTGAGTTTCTTCATTTTCCAAGAAGTAGTGTCAGTTGCTTGGGAGGCTGTGTGGCATGGCTTTGGAGCCAGGCAGGCTGACTTGAGAGGGTCATTTCTGCTTGAAAGTTACTTGCCCTGATGAAACTTCTCATTTCTCGTCAGTAAGAGAAGGTAACCATAGCACCCAAAATACAGTAGTGTTGGCAGGCAGTAAGTAGATTGTATCAGTTGTTAAATTTACTGTTATTATATAGTGTCTTATAATTTTATAAACTGTGAATGTTAGTACTATTAGTGATAAAAATCAATGTGCTTTATAGCAAATAGTCTACCTGTTTATTTTCGTAAGAAATCCCTTCCGAAAAAACTTTAAAGATTATATTTTAATATACATCTTTTGAAATAGCCTGAGAAAGTTCTTCAGTCAGCAGCAAGTGTGTATTTAGTACCTCTTTGTCGTAAGTTGCCAGGTGATGAAATGGTGAACAAGGTTGACATTGTCCATGCCACCTGGTACCTTACGATGAAAGAGCTATTTCCAGCAGTCACAATTGCTTCAGCTCCCTGTTACCCACCAGGATCTACAGCTTCATGAATTATCTGAGACAAGTTAACATTTGAACTCAACAAGTTGAATATGTTAAATATCCACCACTTTTCCTATGTCAATCATACCTCAGTAAAGCAGTCTTGAAAAAAGTGGACTGGCTTTCACTGACCATATTATGGTGTGATGACCCTTTGGATTACAGGAAGGGGAAATTTTGACTTCACAATTTTTAAAGGAGTTGTATGAAATTTTAAAACTTCCTGTTTTGTTAAGATATAATGCAAAGGATTGACGTTTATGAATTAATCCCGGGCCTTCACTCCTTCCCTGAATTACTGTATCGATCAAGGATGGATGGAGGATTGCTAGTATATATTATTCAGTAATAAAAGTTGAAAGTTCATCAGTGGGGATAACTTTTAGACTGTGGCCCAAATTCCTTGATGTGGTATCCTAGGATTAGCTCTTAGAACAGAAGAAGGACGTGAGTAGAAATACAGATGAAATCCAAATAAAGGGTACAGATTAGTAAATAGGATAGTATGAATGATAATTTCCACATTTTAACAAATGTTATATTAGATGTTAACATTGAGGAAAGCTGAATGAAGGATGGACAGGTCTTCAGTTTCCAAGCACTTGTAAGAAAACCATTGTGCAGACATTATTGCATTGCATGCTGTGTGGCTCCACACTTTTCCTCACTTTGGTTAGTTTGTAAATGCCTTGAGAAGACAAGAATTTTAACATTAGTCTAAGAAAAATATAATTAGGACAGTAAGTCTGCTGTAAAATCATAGTGTTCAATACCCTCATCTAGGTCCTTTGGAGGTAAAGAATGAATATGGTGGGATCTTCTCATTTGCCTAGAATCTTCAAGGTGTTTTCATATATAAAACAGAGAAGCCCCACTTTTTTACCTGGAAATTTTAACTATTGAGAAGTTTGAGTGGTTCAGAAATTCCCTTTTCCTTTCATAGGTACAGACACAAGTACGCCTTGCAAAAAAAAATTTTGACAAACTGAAGATGGATGTGTGTCAGAAAGTGGATCTTCTCGGAGCAAGCAGATGCAATCTCTTGTCTCACATGCTAGCAACATACCAGGTAACCAAGTGTTGTTTGTCACAAGGAAAATATGGTGCATGGCTTAGCTATTGTGATGTTAGAGGTCAGAGCATGGTTCAGGCATTGTGAAGCTCTAAATACCTTCCTCATAATTGACTCCCCACATCTCTGCCATCTAGTCCTACAGTTTAATCAAACTGAACCCACACAGTAGCCACCATTCCCTTGCACACACACTGTAATTTTCCATTCCTCTGAAGTTACCCTGAGGTAACTTTCTGCTTGGAGAGCCTCCCCTCAAAAACAACTGTGCTTTTCCAAATTCCACTCTTTTTGATATGCCACATGAAAAGTCCCACCCTTCAGTAAGCCTGGTCTGACCTCACTTAGTGTTGTACCTGTATGTCTCATATCATACTTTGCTTCTCCAGCTGTCATTCAGTGCTTACTTTTCATTTCCCCTAACAGCCTCTGAGTTCCTTCAGCAGTGTCCTTCAGCAGTGCTGCTGACACCAACTGAATGTGGGATGCTGAACATTGAGTATTGTAGGAAATACGAAAACTAGTAAGACCATCCTTGTCTGGAAGTAGCTCAAAGCTTAGGGAAGAAATTAAGGACAGGAATGTCTGACTATAATTTCTAACACTCCAGGACAAACCAGAGTACACTATGTGGGAAAAAAAGGCATGCAAGTAAGGATTGGAAGAGGGAGAAATCAAATTAGTTGAGGGCTCTCAAGGCAAGCAGGATAGAAATCCCAGTACTCTGGGAGATCGAGGCAAGAGAATCACAAATTTGAGCTCATCCTGGACACATTAGCAATTTAGCAAGACCTTGTCTCAAAATTTAAAAAATAAAGATAAACAGAGCTGGGGATGTAGCTCTGTACAAAGGCCCAGGGTTCATCCCCAGTTCTGAAAACAAACGAAAAACTAAATTCATGATTAGCCCTGGGTTTTGGAGGACGGGTTGAAGGAGACAAGGAGAATAGAGAAGAGCAGGTCCTAAGGGTAGGAGTAGCACAATCCATGGCAAGCATTTAGTTTGGCTGAAATACAGGGTGTATGTGGCGGGTACAGCTCGTGTAGAAATAAGTCCGAATTATTTTAGGGTACCTTGAAATTTACAGATAGGCACACTTCTCTAGTGCCCAGGACTAGCACTGAGCATTCTAAATGGCAATAGCTTTACCATCTCTCTTTACAGACCACTCTGCTCCACTTTTGGGAGAAAACTTCTCACACTATGGCAGCCATCCATGAGAGCTTCAAAGGCTATCAGCCATATGAATTCACCACACTAAAGGTATGAAAGCCAGAGAAGCCACTAGAGAACCTTACAAAAAGTCAAGTTTTGTTTATGTTACAAGCAGTTTCTATCTCATGAGCACCCTCATTCCGAGAATGCAACTGTTAAAGAGAGAACTGCGCTTCCTGGGAGGGTCTTGTACACTGTGCCAGGATTGAGTGTGCACAGGGGTCCAAAAAACAAACTGAGCCTCATTACTGGGAGATAAATGTGGAGGTAAATGTGGTGAACTTAAGTCTTAGAATTGGCCCTCTCCTTTAAATTATGGTTTTAACATTGCTACAGAGAATATTGACCAAGTGCCATATATTCAAGTTATTTTGTGTTTGTTTTTGCATTGCTAGGGATCAAACCCAGGGCCTTGCTCCTGCTAGGCAAGTGCTCTACCACTTAGCCACACCCTCCAGCTCTACTTTTTAGTATTCTATTCAAATATGCTCCCTAGAGATTTCTCTTCCCCCTTCTGAAAAACAGTCCAACACAAAATTGGCTTTTCCCAATAAAGCTATAATATTTTCTAATTGAAAAGGCAACATTAAACTCAAAGACTTCCCACCTGAGAAGGGAACAAGGAATAAGTGCACAGTATCTGATTCTTGGTATTGCAGCTGAACTAGAATTCTTTTTCTCCCTGATGTTTAATAGAGATTAATGCATTTCAAGGCAAGGAAGTGACTTGGGTTCAGAAGAATTTGGGGATGGAGAGAGAACACTGGGTGCCTGCTGCCTGATCACATCTTTGAAAGCACTGTATCAGTCAAGACCTAACTCAAGTTTATCTTCAAATCACCTTGCTTGTAATTTTCCAGGCAGTTTGAGTCTTACCACCTTTCTTGACAAAACATCAAAATACTAAAAAGCTACTGTTTAGCCTTAAAATATGTCTAATTTTAAAATGTTTATAATGCCATTGCATCTATTAAAGTACTGAGACCGAACTTTTGCAGGCCTGACCTTAAAATGAAGGTCCCAGAGGGTCCCAGGGGAACCCACTCACCCTTGATGCACCCAACCTGGTCTGGGCAGAATACTTGGCCATGAAGCTGGTCCTCATGGTCCCTCCCCAACCCCGCCACCCACTCATTGGCACTCAGTGATACGCCACTTAGTAAATGTGTTCAGAATATGTACTATTTTGTTCTGTCAACTATAAGCATGTCCTGGGAGGGACCGTTTACGTCTTATGAATCCTCTTAATGTTCTGTCCACAGAACATTAGAGCAGGCTAGCAGCCTTCCCATGTCACACTGGCACTGCTACTGTTGCCGATAGAGGCTTCATTTCTTCCCCATGATTTACTGTTGCTTTCAGCACCTTTGTAGGTAACTATCCTGACGAAGGTGGATTGGTTAAGTTAAAACTCGTGCAATTCACCCAGTTCTTACCCAGGCCTCAGCCCAAGCCAAAGGGTGACCCTTCCACAATGCAAATTCAGAACATCCAGTTTTATTTCATATACAACACCAAAGGTTATCTGTCTTTGGAAAGACAACTGTCCATAATATAAATTGGCCAGCTGAAAGATGAAATAGGGCCTTCCCCAAATACAGTTTAAAAGAATTTCATATTTGAGTTAATTGCTTATAAAGTACAACATTAATTCATGACATTGAGGTTTTGCCACAAGCGTGGAAGAACACATATGTGTATTCCTGGCCTCCTGTGCTGAAGAAAATGTGGCTCCTTAATTTTTGCCGTGCTATTTGCCCTGCAGAGAGAATCAAGCTGATTATTTGAGAGGATTTCTGGACAGAGAATTTAGCAAAAGTTTGACAGCCATGCATGGTTCGGGACATAATTACAAATACTTTGGGCAGATGACTCTCCATTGCCTTTTATATCCCCAGAGCCTTCCTTAAATTAGGGCTTAAGTAATAGTTCATTGTTTAATTGTAATATCATCTTAGTAGACAAAATACATCTGTTAAAGTATAATGATGTTTATAGTAATATTAAAAATAACTGTCTGGAAACCAACCAAACAAACCATTTTTTTATTATCTCTCCAGAATACTACTCACCTAGGCTTTCAATAATGACATATTAGAATCTCAAGCTGATAGCTAATTATTTATTTGGGCTCAAATTTGATGTACTAGAATCCAATATACACTGTTCATTATTGTTTTATAGATAGAAGCACTTGAATATCAAATTTTATGTCACAAAACATGAAAATGAAAACCATTATTACCTTCTGTGTCATGGTCAAGTATGAGGATTTTGTTTGATTACCCAACCCTCTTGCCCCAATATTTTTAAAATTGCATGTCCTATATTTATAAGATTTTTATTTTATCAAATCACCTTTTAACATATATATAATTTTTGAAAGGCACTGTGTATTGATCATGTGTGTTTTGAAATTTAAATAGATGTTTTTACAATTAATTTGTTCTCTGGGTTTACCTAACCAAATAGCCCCCTTAAATGCCTTTTGGGACTTGGACTAGAAAGAAAACATTGTCTTTGAGAGGGTTGCCAAGCTCTGTTAATGAAAAGCAAGCCATTTGTTTTCTTTGCTTCAGGGTATATTCTGAGTGTGTTGGTAATTGTGCCATTGCAGCTGTATTTCCTGACTGTTAGTTTTATGCTTGATGGAGGATGATAATTAATGTGTTAAACACTTGGTGCGTCCCGTTTGGAGAACACTGCAGTATTACATGAGTATAAATCGGGCCCCTGGAAATTCAAAGTTTTACTTCTAATGAACCTTTCTTTCCCTAAGAAATACATGATAGATTTTTTAACAGAAAAATTTTATTATAAAAGTAAAGTGAGCCTGTACCTCATACAACTTGAAAAAATACCTTAGTGACAGTTGAGACATTTTGTGGCAATACTTTATGTGACAAAGCTATTGATTTTTTTGCCCTGGCCTCATATGATTATGTTGATTCTACTTTAATTGATATAGTCATTCATCATTTTAATTTTATAGTAATTTTTAGCATCTATTACAAAATTAGCATTTTTGTAGCATTTTAACTTTATGGAAAATTTAGGCTTGAAATGTAATATTACAGACAATTTTTAAATCTAATCCTTGTAACATCTTGAATTTAAAGCAGAGATTCTGTCTTCTAAGTGGTTTCTAATTTTAAAAAAAGCAATTCTGATCTTGTATTTTCAAGCAACAAACACTTATGAACTCACTACAGTCTTACTAAGCATGCATATTTGACATGAACCGTCATTAATGTGTTAAATTTATACTGATTCCACATCATCTAGGACTGTCTTTCACATGGTTAAAATTATCAAGTCATGGGGATAGGAATGGAATGTTACTTGCCAGATCTTGAAAGCATTGTCCTTACTTTGAAAAAGTAATTTAGACTAAGAGTTGAAAGCAATTTTGAAAATTAAATAGAATTGTCTTGTTAGGAAAGCACTACCGAGTCTTAAATTGCCAACGTTCAGATGTGGTTGTGTTTACTTCCTTCTAGGATGTCACTTACTTACATGCTTCCCCATGGATCGAGAGCAGGCATCAGCCAAAAAAATTACAATAGCCCCTTCCTCAGGAGTCAAGTGGCTTGTCCCTGGAAAAATCTAAAATTCCATTTCTATCAGTGACCATTTCCTTCTCTCTGGAACACTGGCAGTGGGTTGAAATGGACACTTTTATAGAGAAATGATTCTCCCTTCAGAGCAGTGACACACTCTTTGGTGGGCTAATTGAAGGGAAAGCATGCATTTGTATTTTTAAAGACATCAGAGTGCCTGTGTTCAATGAAAATGGCCAGTAGTAAAGTATAATCCCATGATACACTCCACTCCAGTGTTTTTTAAAGATTCACCGAGTTTTTGACTTTGCTGTTCATATTCACTGGATATGCTATAAAGCACAAGCTCTGGAGCCAGCCAAATCAGGCTGTAAGTCCTGCTCTGCCCATGTCCAGCTGCCCGGTAGTGGTAGTAGGGCTGGTGGTGCTGAAGAGAGAGGCAGCTACAGTGGTCATGATGATGGTCGAGATGGCAGCGGTGGTGGCACAGGTAGCAGTGAAGTTTCCAGTGACATTGTGGTAGTAATGGGGAGGAATATATGGAGGATTCTGTTGTAAAGCTAGAAGTCAGCCACTGAAAGTATCCATATAGGAGGACTCGTCAAGGTCACAAGGCTCAGTAGCCCAGTGGAAGTTGCTTTCTTACTCACCATTTCTAGCCTAGATTGTAGTTTCATAGGGAATTTCACACACAAGACTGTGAATGGCAGTGGAATGAAAGGTCTCACCAATCCAACCTGTTCCATCCCTGGCTTCCACAGACACTGCAGAAGCTCCATTCACAAGCCTGTCCTTCATCCCTCCAGGCTTTGGTCTGGGCTTACATAATTCCCACCAGGCCTGCAAGCCAAAAAGGCGGGAGGGCTTGCCATCTCTGCAACAGGGCTAACTCTGACAAATGCAATTTGGCTTTGCAACTGGCTCCCAGTGTGTGCCAAGATTTTAACTCTAAGGAAACCAAACTCTGAGTATGTTCAAAAACAACTGTTGAAACAGATGTACCAGTGTTTCCTTTTTTTCTCTCTTGGGTATAGGTCTCAGTACTGTTATATGGAACATCATTGTGTAGACCAAAATGCTTTCAGCTTTCAAAATTCAGAAAAACATCCTTTTCTAAATTTTGTTTTGCTCAAATTTGTATGCCTAGCAGCCTTCTTCCACCCACCTCCACATTTCTCAGTTAATCATTTGAACATTTACCGACAAGCCGCATGGCTCTGTAGTTACTTGCTTTGAAAATAAAACCATAATAGTTTTTATGAAAATTGGGTAAATATCCCTGCAATGCTATTTTAGTTACCAGTCCTAACAAGGCAATTACTCATGGCGAGCATCCAGAATAGCCCTTCAGACTTTCAAGTTTTCTCTCAGTGTCATTACTTTACAAGGCATTTAGCAATGCTCCCCCCACCCCACCGCCAACCCCTTCCTTTCCTTTTCTTTTTCTTTCTTTCCCCCCCCCCCAAAGCTGCTTCAGTCCAGACCATT